TAAGAATATCCAATGTTGATGAAAGTGTGAGAAAACAAACATGTACATTTCCTTTTTTTGTATTTGTATTTGTGGGGTTTTTTTTTTTGTAGTTTGTTTGTATTATCTATTGCTGTGTAACAAATTACCTTCAAACATAGTGACTTAGAACAACAGATATTTATTATCTCAGTTTCTGTGGTCCAGGGATCTGGGAGTAGATTAGCTGGATAGTTCTGACTCAATGTCTTTTTTGAGGTTGCAGTCAAGATGTCAGCAAGGACTGCAGTCATCTGAGATTTGACTACCATCAAAGATCTGCTTTTATTTTTTTTAATTTAAGTCCCAATTAGCCTACATATAGCACATCATTAGTTTCATATGTAGAGTTTCAGATGTAGTTTCAGTTCCATGAATCAGTTCCATGATTCTTCAGTTGTATTTAACACCCAGCGCTCATCACATCACATGCCCTCCCTAATGCCCATCATCTGATTACCCCATTCCCTCCCCGACTTCCCTTCCAGCAACCTTCAATTTGTTTCTTTCTTATAGTTAAGAGTCTCTCATGGTTTGTCTCCCTCTCTGATCACTTCCCATTCAGTTTTCCCTCCCTTCCCCTATGATCCTCTGAGCTGTTCCTTACATTTCACATATGAGTGAAACCATACCATAAATGTCTTTCTCTGATTGACTTATTTCTATCCACATTGATGTAAATAGTGAGTATTCACCCCTTCTGATGGGTGGGTAACATTCCATTTATTATGTATAAATATACCCATATACCAAGGAACTGAAGCCTCTTGTCAACAGCAATGTAAGTATGCTTAGAAGCAGATCTTCCATGTAACAGGAAAACAAAATGGAAGCTACAGGGTCTCTCATAACCTAATCTCAGAAGTGATGTAACAACACTTCTGGCATCACATTGGGCCACATATATCAATCCTGCTATAATATAGGAGGGACCAGACAAGGGTATGAATACTAGGAGGTAGGGAACATTGGGTGCTATTCAGGAGACCAGGATAATATTTCTGAGGGTCAGTTTAGCAATATTTATCAAAATCTATAAAAACACATATCCCTTTTGATTCAGAAATTACAGTTACAGCAACTTACCTGAAGGAATTAATTAATAGTATGTACTATAATATATCTTTAAGGGTATTTATTAGAGCTTTGTAATAGTGAAAATTGAAAACAGGTAAAGTAATCAACAGTGAGATTGTATAAATATGGTATATATTTATTATGTATACTATATGCTGATATTACAAATAATGTAGAATAATTGATGATGACAGAGGAAAATGCTAATGTGATTGAGAAAAATCAGATAAAACATTTATTTATACTGTATCAAAGATTGTCTGTGTGTAGAAGCAAAACTGGAAGTTTCTACATAAAACAGGTGGTAGGGAGATGAATAATTATGTCCTTTAAATTTCTCTGTATTTTCTAAGTTTTCTATAAAAAGCATTTGCAATCAGAAAAAAAGAATCACTTTTTAAAAATATGCCTGATCATGTACTGACCAGGAGGAGATAGATCATCTAGAGTTTAAAATATTCTAGGAGAGATTCTGCAGACCTGCTTGCTGTATTTTTCATGAGGATAGGAGTCTTCCTGTGGAGTCTCAGGTTCGGTCAAATATATGGATTTCTAATGTACGTACCTATGGTTGGGAAAATATCACAAGGAAATGGGATCCCTTTTAGCAACCAGAGAGTTATCACTGTATCCTGAGGGTAGTATTGGTCAGCATGAGATTTCAAGAAGATTCTTAGTTTTCATAGAAAACTTCTCCCTCAAGAGAGTAGAACTTACCGCCCAAAGCTGGAAAATGGCACAGCTGGAATTTGAAACTAGAATAATACAGTACTGTTAATCAGTGTGTACTGGGAGTATTAGTTAAAGCTTTTAAAGTGGGAATGATGTGATCAAAGATGTTTTAGTAAATACATTATTTTTATCCAATTATTGTTACACAAATTATTAAACTGTGTCTTCAGTTTAATAAAACTGTGGCTAAAGTGGATTCAAATGAGAAAGATACAATGAAGCCCAAAGGGCTGAGGGGCTTGAGAAATAATGAGGGTTAAGACATTAGACATCAATTTGGAATGATGTGCAGATGCACTGGAAGGGAGAAAAAGTCCAAAGATTAGGCTGATGACTCCCTAGAAGAGAAGATTAGAATTCCAGATTTTGGAGGAGGAAGTTGTTTATTTTGGTGGTGATCTTATTGAACTGGTAGGTGCCTGGTTAGAGATCAAGATAATTTGGTTCTTAGAGTAGAAAATGTTAAAGAACTTTGGTATCAAAATGTTAGAATAGTCATTACCTGGAGTGGAAATAGGTTAGAATGATTCCAAAGGGAAAATGCCAGGACAATTTGTAAATCTCTCCAAATACATGGTGGGAGGATGAAAAATAGAACTTGTCACTCTGTGTTACTTGGGTAAATTTGCCACCTTAGTTAGACTGTTTACTATAAGGAGCAAAGCCCATGACATTTTTTTTTTTTCTTGTTTTGGTCTTTGCTGCTGCTATGACTAGCACAATATTCAGATACATCATGGCTCTATCTTTAGGGCATGGCCTCATCCATCTCATTGGATAAATATGGAAGTCTCCCATGTTCCAAGTATGTCTTCTTCCAATAAGAGGGAAACATACCTCCGAAGTAAACTTAGATAAAATATCTTTACCTGTTAGAGGACACAAAACATGAAAGCACTATCAGAATACAAGGGATTTACAACTGTCACAGTCAGAGCCCTGTCATTTACATGTGTTTGTTGGCCATTTGTATACCCTCTTTGGAGAACTATCTTCTACCCAGATTCTTTGCTAATTTTTTAATTGGGTTATTTATTTTTTTATTATTGAGTTTCAAGAGTTCTTTACATATTCAGTAAACACATCCTTTTTATCAGACATGATTTGCAAATATTTTCTCCCATTTTGTCGGTTGCCTTTTTATTTTTTGATGACATTGTAGCACAAAAGTTTTAAAATTCGATGTAGTATAATTTAGCTATTTTTCTTTTGTCACTTGTACTTTTGGTGAAGTTCTTTACATTTTTAAAAATAGACTTCATTTATTAGAGCAGTTCTACATTCATAGCAAAATTGAGTGGAAAATACAAAGAGTTCTCATATACCCCATTTCCCCACGCATGTACAAACCTCACCCATTATTGACATGCCCCATAGAGTAGTTATTTGTTACAGTTGATGAATCTACATTGACACATTATTACCCAAAATCCATAGTTTACATTAGGATTCACTCATAGTGTTATATATTTGGGTTTGAATAAATGTATAATGACGTTCATACACCATTATAGTATCATGCAGAATTGTTTCACTGCCCTAAAAATTCTGTGTGATCTGCTCATTCATTTTTTCCTTCCTCCTAACCCCTGGCAATTGCCCCCCCCCCTTTTTTTTGCTATGTCTACAGTTTTGCCTTTTACAGAATGTCATATAGTTACATATAATATGTAACCTTTTCAGGTTGGCTTCTTTCACTTAGTAATACGCATTTAAGGTTCTGGAGCCCCTTACATTTTTAACATGTATATTTAGTTATACAGTTTCTAAAAAAAAGTTTAAGGTTATTCAGTAGCTCTTTTTCCAGAGCAATATAAGAATTTTAGTGCCCTTTAATTAACCCCTGAACATCTCTTATTTTTTTTTTTTTTTTTTAGAAACTTTAGTTCTACACTTCAAAAAAGAAGTTTATATGATACTTGAGGCAGGGTGTCTAGGTTTTATGGACTAGTAAGCAAGCTGGATGACACCGAGCAAGTTGCTTATCCTCCCATTGTCTGTTTCTTTATCTTTAAAATGGGCAAAATAGTAGTACCCATTTCAAAGGGCTGTAGCAAGGATTAAAATGTAAATATATTGTCATATGGGAATTACTCTGATGCAATAGTAGTCTCCAAGTAAGCTCCTAGATAGGCTATCATAGATTTCATGGAACAGAAAGGTGCACAGGCCAAATAAATTGTTCAGATCACAGTTTATTCGATCAATTGCAAATATGATGCAAAGTATATGGGAAGAGAGGTGGGCTAGGAAAACACACTTAAGGTGTGTGTTAAAGAGTCATAATACCATAATACCTGCAAAGTTGACATATCCTCTCTCTGTTGTATCAGCCTTCCCTGCTGATAATGTGGTTACAAGGACCAGAGTGGAAATTTGAACAAGGGAGCCCAACGTACTAAAGGTGTCTGAGGAAACAACACATACTTGCTCCATAAGAGAGCTTGTTGGAGAGTACACTTGGCCAATAGCTACGCTCCGCGTTTAGCCTGATGGGCAGCTATGCATTTTATTTGGCTGAAAATCTAAAATCAGAGTCGGCAATAGGTGGCCAATTAAAGATCTCACAATTATTGTGTGTCTCAGGTGCTTCATTTATACCTGTGTGTCATATGTATCTGTTGTTCATTTGTTATTTAGCAAATCATGACTATTAAATGCTTGTTTTTGCCCCTCTCCCCCTTTCTATCTGTGTTCATAGATTTATGTTCTCTACTTTGTGTCTGATACTCCTCAGCTTACTAACTTACTTATTTATGGTTAATGCAGCTAATGAATTTCACCTATCCCATTTGTTTTCTTGTCTTCTAGAGCAGAATTGACTATTCCAAGACAATACAACAATTGCACATTGTATGTGAAAATAACTCTATAAATCTTAGCTACTATTATTATTATCACATTAGGTGGCTTTTGTATTTTAATATTATCATCTATCTAAGAGTGAAGATTAGCAATCTAGTTAAACTTCATTGGATTAAACAACTAACTGAAAATCCCGATATTAGAGTTATTTGGCTTGATTTTGATCTGAAATAGATAACAAGGTGTATTTTATTAGTCAGATCTTTTTGCTATGAATTTAATTTATCCTCCCATCTTTCCAGTTGTATAGATTATTGGCTGTTACTTACAAGGCTAGTATACTTCCAATTTTTTTTCCTTTCCTACAGGCTTATCCACAGTTTGTTCTGACCTACCTAGAGGAGCTCACCGCACAAGTGGATATGACCCAGACAGAATATCATATTCACCGTGGTGCCCAGACTACAACTCATCAGGAAAATGGTAGCAGCTTAGCAGAAGAGGTCAGTGTAGTGAGCCAGAGGCAAGACAGAAATAGATCTCTAAAATGTATTTTGAAAAGAGAAAATGTTCAAGTTGTTTTCAGGAGACAAGCACAAATTCACATCTTAACAATACTGTTTAAAATCGTACAAATAATATAAATATCTGTATGCACATTTATATTTATGTAAACATCTATATATACTCATATAAACATTGTTTTATTAAATAGTGGATGACCTTGTAGCTTTTGTTAGGACTGATGCCTTTTCTTCTGGTCACATAACAAATGATTTCTGTGCCGAAGGAGGAAGACCAGAGGAAGCCTGAAAAGTGTAATGTTAAATTTGGGGCATATGTAGCTTAGATATATCCACTCAATGAAATTAGGTACATTATTGTTATATTTCATTTCTTAGGTTCTACAAGAATGTGCTAGCATCTCTGGTCTGAAGCAACTGCCAGAGCCTTCAGACACCCATTTAATGCCAGAAGGTCCTCTTGGGGAGACAAGGCAGCTGACAGTGGCACTGGTGAGGAAACTGGAAGAGAAACATCCTAAGGCTTCTGCTCAGAGGTAGGGCACTGACAGAATGGAGCTTTATTGCTCAATGACATTCGATGTTTTCCTTCAGTTTCATGTAAGATTGATTTCTTGAAGATTATTGAAATATCTCAAAAGCCCTTTGGCTTGCAAGCACTGTCGTTTTTGGGTCACATTTGATGAAGAGAGGTGACATTTATGTGTATTTCATTAAAGTTTGATGTATGATATTGTTTTAAGTATACTTAGGAAGGGCTGTTCTCCTGGGTTCTCACTAAAATGCTCTGAAATAACATAAGTAAAGTGATACTGAGCATGTATCCAATTGTGAAAATACCAAGAGATCTTTAAGAACACCAGACTCATACAGACAATCCTTTTTGTGTTTTGTGGCAAGATTATTATATTTAGGCCTGAGGATAAATGCACATTGGATGGTCTTTAGCAGTGATAATTTTAAAAATTGATATTAAATAGAAATTAAAAATTTCTATAGAATAAAACTAACTAGTGGTTTTGCTAACCAAATGAAAATCACCCTTGGCTGGAAAATAGAAACTATTTCTCTGATCCTCCTTATTTAATTGGAAAATTAAAGTTTATGTTTATTATTATTAGTAGTGTTATTTTGTTTGGTTTGATGTTATAAATCACAAAATGATGTTAAAAATTGTAACTTTAATATTGTAATTTTTGGCAGTTAACTATTGACTGAAGTACTCTTAAAGGAGTAATATGATTCATACTGTACTTTCTAATGCTCAAGAGAATTCCTAACTTTAAATATTCTAACTATAGATAGAAATGTCAGTTGCATGGAGAAAGAAAAAAAATGACAACTTTTAATTTCTTTTTTAAGAACCTTGCCAGGTTTATATAGAGTTGATATATAAACATTGTGTAAGTTTAAGGTACACAACATAACAGCTTTTATTTCAATTAAAAGCTCTTAAATTCTTAAATTATGTATTCCTGCCTGAGATTTTTAACAGGAGGGGAACTTTTTTTTCCTCTTAACAAAAGTGACTTTTCAATTTATTGTCTCTTTGTTATCTAAACCTCACTTTGGTTTCATTATTTTGAGTAAGATAGGGCACAGATGAACAAAAGAACAAATTTAGTACCTTGCTGTATCATAGTCTGAGAATATCCCGGGCCTGTACAAAAACCTAAGTTCTAGTTTCCTTTCCTGCTACTTACTTTTTAATCATATATAAGATTCTCAACTATCTGACACCCCACAACAGGGCCACAAAGCCACAGCAGTCCAGCTAGTCCTTTCTGTTCAGGTCACTAGAATGGAAGGCCCTTGGGAGCAGTCTTTGAAGTTTTCACATAAAACAGGAACTCAGGGAAAACTGGACCACTGGGAAACTTAAATATGGTTTTATGAGACTGTTGTCGGCCTTCCTAGACTCACTAGGCAGACATTTCTACTCTACACTTTTTGAGAGCATGAGGGGGCTTGTCATTATCCTGGGTACTACTCAAGGAGGCACAGGTTCCTGCTGCTTCCTGATTTCTGAAACTTGTATAGGATTTCCATTTTTGTCTCCTGCTGGCCCTGGTCCCAGGAGGCGCAGGCGGGGGGTGGGGGGTGGGTGGGTGGGTAGTCAGTGTACAGGGAATCCAGTGATAACTCACCTAATTCTCTATGACTCTCTCCTTCCCCAGCCTGGAAGTATTTTCTCTGAGGGTCAAGGGCATTGGGAGGTTGAGGGATTTGTTTTCTGTATTTTGTGATTGTATCTGCCCTGAAGCAGTGTGATGATGGAATATTGGGAGAAAGGCATATTGTATTAGGCAAGCCAAAAAAAGTCCCCAGAATACAAACAGAAAAACAAGCAACAAAGCAGTTAACATCAGTTAACATAACATAATACTTGTTTAAGTTGTTAGAATTGCAGGTCTTTAAATTTCCAGGAATGTGGTAAGCACTCAATGAGTAGTCTGTGAAAATGTGCTAAAAGCAAGTAGAGTCAAAAACAGTTTTTAATAGGGGTTGCAGTTAGATTTGTGATTTTTAATCGATAGGGGTTGACTAAATATGTTTGGGATTTTATTTCATAAGAAAATTAAATTTTTTTAATTTAATTTTTTAATTTTTAATTTTAATTTAATCTCTCATTAAGAGAAGGGCCCTGGGAATTTTCTTATGAAATAAAATCCCCAGGGCCCTTCTCTTAGTGAGCATCCCTCAGGATTTGTGTCTCAGGCTACAGCAACTCTTCTAGTCCTCTTTTTTTCTTAAACCCACACGGATTTATCCTCATTCTCCTCTCCACCCCCACAATTTGCCATAATAGAGGTAATTTCAGTTTCTCTCCTTCTTTCTGTTCCTTAACAAAGTTATTTTGAGTAGAGAGTAAGTACTTAGAGCAATTACTTTCCTCCCATTTTGGAAGGAATTGTTGGGCAAAATTAGAACATGGTACTGAATTTGGCATATTGATTACTTTGAACCTTAGGCTGTCTTGTTAGGTTTACAGGCAGTCCAAATATAAGAGAATCGGTGCATTATATTATCACAGCTTTAAGAGAGGACTTTACATTTTTTGCCTTTATCAATGACAATTTTAAAAAATATAAAATAAATTCATTATAAAAATAAAAGAATACTGTGAAATGATTTGAGTTGTAGAAATTGGAAAAAGAGATAGAATTTTAGAATAAAAGCCATTAATGAGCAAATAATCTGGAGAAAGAACATAGAGTTGAAAAGAATAAACGATACAGAGATATAAATGTTTGTATTTCCTTAGCAGTAGCCAATGAAGGAGAGAACCACAAGTAGCCAAATTTGGGGAAAGACAGAAAGATTGGTAGTTAGTGGCATATAAATATGTGAAAATGAAAGACAACATTCATTTTTAATAACATATATTAACTTTGCTTAAGTGCTTTATGTGCATTATTGCCCAGTAGCCTATGCAGTATGTAAAACAGAGGTATTCATCTCTTTTTTACTGATAAGGAAATTGAGGCACAGAGAGATTAAGTTACTTCACTAAAGGCCTTCCAGGTAGTAATTTAAGGCAGGCCTATCTGAGCCCTAAGTCTTTTTCTTAGCCTCTACATTATTCTGCCTAACCATTCATGTTCTTGTCTTAGTGATTATTCCAAATCTTTAGCCTTTCAAATGGGAACTATTATTTTGACTGGATATCTTGGAGAGGGACCTTTAAATAAAGTGGAACAGTTTAGAAAGGGAATAATAATAGATATGTCAATATATGCAGCTTGCAGTGATGACTACGTAAGAAGTTGAAAATACAAAAGGAGACTGTAAACCCATTTCTTGTTGAATCCAACAGCCTAGATTTACCAATGTACAAAGTTTGCACTTGAATGGATTAGAGATTTTTAAAAATCTTTTTCTAATAAGGTGACTATAACCTGTCATGATTAGCCAAGGTATTTCCCACCTTGAATGGTGGTTCAGTTCGGCTTTGTATCTACTACATATGGTGATAGGTAACTAACAGCTGTCATTTGTTGAATACTTACCATGTGTCAACTGCTAGTGAAAGTACTTATTCTTATAACAATGTGGTAAATTTAATTATTATCACAATAATCTGAAGGTGGAGGGACTCTTAAAATTCATAAAGATACAGCAACTGAGGCTCAGAGAGATTTTTTAATGTGCCCAGTTATACAGCTGGAGATGGGATTCAAACCCACAACCATTTGGATCTATAGACCATGCTCTTAACCACTGTTTTATTCTTCATTCCTAATAGTAGTTATTCCAGTGATTTTATAACAGAATGTTGTCAAATTGAATAGTCACTTTATCACTAAAATTTTATGTGTATTACATCATAAACATTTGATTGGACTATTGCCATTTTGATGGGTACATTATTTTGAATTATATTCTTAAAAAAAACCTATGACAATCACCACAAATCTGCAGGCCAGGCTTTCCCATCTACGGAATCATTTAATTTAATATATACACTTCAAGCATTTGTGGAAAGCAGTCTGATTATTGATCTTCATTTTTTATTATTTTTGTAATGTAGAAAAAATTATTTTTCCTGTTGAAGTAAAAGGAAAATCTCTTATTGTGTGAGGTCTTTAAAGTTCTTAGTTCACGATAGGTTATATTTTCTTGTTTATTTATCAACACTTAAAATGTTTTTTCTGCCTCTATCAGTGAGATATAGAAATGTGGTTATCTTCTTGCTTGGATAAACTGAGTTGTGTGTACCTTTAATTCTAAGTTTGGTCCAAAAATAAGATAAATGCCATATTCTGGCATCTTTAAGTGTCTGGAATGTGTTTGTTTACATTAGTTTATCTGATGGAGCCCTTTACCTTATTCAAATTGAATAGGGGGTGGGGAAGGACTGGGACAGCCGACAAAGCACACTGACCCAGCTTGTCACCCAGTGACCTGTGAGAAGGAAATAATGAACTGTGAGTAGCTGTCATCTTAACTGTTTCTGACAGTTTGCCTTTGGGCACATCTGTGTTAGTTGCATTGGAAAGGCCTTTGTTCTTTTCCCACTAGTGACTTTGTGGAGTGCTGAGGGGTTTGCTAGCTACTGGACTCTTAAGCGGGTCCTTCCTTCCCAGGGAAGCAAGCAGCTGCCGTGGATCACACTGACATTTCTCCTCATGACTCAACTTGGCATGTACTTCACTCTTTCAAAAAAGAACATAAATTTAGAAGTCCTTTGATTTTTCTCATTTAAAATGTACTTGAATGTCTCCTGAGTTTTGTTACTAACAACACAGCAAGTTCTAAAACATGTTTAGTATTATCCTGATTTTATATGGATAAAGGTAAAGATAAATTGATAGCTAACCAGATAGGCAGGTGACTTGAAGAAATATATATCCAAATATTGACAGCTGTTATTGGGTTTTAAATTGTTCTTTATTATTTTCCAAATTTCAGTAATTGATTATTATATTTGAAATATAATAGGATAAAAATCAACATATGTTATGAAAAATATTTTTAATGTAGATACTCGACACATGCTTTATTAGTAGGAATATTTGGACTAAAATAGGTAAGA